GTAGCAAGCAACGTGCATGCAGTGCCCGCACGGAAGGAACATGACGGGCGTCGTCGACGTGAACATGTACACGTGGCAGATCGGGCAGTCCGACTCGAGGGACCGCTCGACGCACTTGTGCTTCTTGAGCGTAATGCTCATGCACGCGTTGCACTTGTCGCAGTGGAAGTAGTCGATGCCAAGGCCCTACGAGGATCATGCTATGGCACAAGGTTGTATATGCGATGGTGTCTACCTTGCCGATGCGGCAGATGCGGCACTTTTCACAGTGGTAAATGTCCTTGGTCGGGTCGTCGTCGTAGAATTTGCACACGTCGCAAAAGTAGCGAGCAAACTCAATGCCACAAGCCGCGTTCGTGCACGTCTTACCGACCGGCTAATGGTGCAGAGAAAGGCGTGAGTGTGCTATTGTGACGAGAGTCGTCTACCTGGACGGTATGGCACTGCATGCACGAGATCTTCTCGGTCTCGTACCGATCAAACGTGTGCTTCTCGGCCTCGTCTGTAATGTAGTACATGTTGAGTCACAAGTTCTTCCCTATGTAGAGGTCTGGTACCATGGCAGAAGCGGCACGAGTAGAACTTGTTGCAGCACTTGGCGTAAAGCTTGCACTTGCGTCTGCGCACCCACGTGAGTGCCACCCTGTCGTTTACATATCGTCATCGTCGTACTGGTAATGCTGGCATCCCATGATGGTCTTGTCTGCATCCTGTGGCCAGTAAAGTGAGCTTCCGGGAGCGGGATGGGCACAGGAAGCGTACGTGGTACGTGACGACGGTCCGGTCAGCGTCCGTGATCGGCGTCTCGGGCTTCTCGACAGCCTTGGGCGTCAAGCGCTCCTGCGCTTCGTTCCATTGCTGCATCATGAGCTTCTGCATCCCGTCCGCCTTTTCCTTCGGCGTCAGCGACTTGTTGGTCTGGATCTCGAGGATCTTCGCCTTTAGGTTCGCTTGCGGGTTTCTACGAACATGGACGATCCATACCGTGTGTGCTTCATGGCGCGTCGTACCTCGGCCTTCTCGAGGGGCGGGGGCAGCGACTGTCGGGCGCATGGACGGTCGCCGCTCCGTCGTCGGCGCGACGTCGATGCTGCTGCTGGCGCCGACCTCGACCTGGTTTCGGGACCGGCGCGGCCGCCGGAGTCGCATCGCCCCTGGCCAGCCCATGAGCATGGGCCCCGTCGTCGTCTACCTGCACGTACCGGAGCATGTTGATGGAGAGGCCGAGAAACATGGACCTTGGACGAGGAATCCCAAACTGGCGAACGCAAGCCCATCATAGCAGCAGGCTATTTTTAGCACGCGCGTTTGATTGGCCGACGCCGGATACGAAGAAACGGTCAATTGTGCGGTTTAAAATTCGAAATTCACCGTTTTTTTCGAAATGAATTTGCGAGATACACGGAAATACTGTTGTGCTCTACGCTCGTCGTAACTGCGTCTCAAGGCACGCTGCGCAAGGGACACTTGCCGCTACCATGATATATTGAGCATGCGTGCGCCATTTATCACACTCCATGGCGCATCCGACGCGCA